TGGTGAGGCTGCGTGGCGGTGCGGGCGGGCGCTGTGCTTGGGGTGGTGCCGGGCGGCCGGCTTTATGTGGTGCGGGCGCTTTCCCTTCCTCGCTTTCTGATTGCGGCGAGTTTCCGGCTGCGGTTTTCGGTTTTGGCCGGTGGCTGCGGTGGTCTTGGGGAAGTGCGTTGGTGGGGCGGGCGTGCGTGGGGAGGGCGGTGGCGGTGCCATGGTGGTGGTGAACCATGGCGAGTTTTTTTCGGGGTAACGTTGGCTTTTTTTTGGGGAATTTGTAAGCACTGAGGTAGCAACAACTGGGTATTTGTGCTAACAATTTTTTGTGTGTGTGTGGTTTTTCCTTTCTTTTCTTGGCCTTCTCTCGTGGTTATTGTGTTTCGCTGAATTTCCCGTCGTGCCCATGTCTCTCTTTCTTATGTAATGCTCAACTGTTGGTTGTGGGTTTTTTACTTTCGGTATGTTTGTAAACTTTTTTTCCGTGTGAATAGAGAATTTGTTTTCTCATTTTTCAAGATTTGTAAAATGATGTATTTCTCCGGAATTTCTGTATCTCTGTACTTTCAGATGTCCTTTTGAGGAGGGGGCACTGTATTTAAGCACTTAGGCACTGAATGTGTTTGATTAAGCCTCTACAGTGTCTTTTGTTACATTTCATTGTTTTGGTCCTCATTGTGACTGGAGATAATAAGTCTTTTCTAAGCTGTTTCCTATTGAAAATGAAGGCTATACAGACAGAATTTTTTTTATATGTGGTAATTTTTCCTCTTTTTGACAGTCAAGATTTTTTCGTGACCACTGTCTGATTTTGCTGCATGTACGAAAGAGTTCTCTAAAACAGTTCCATTTTTCTGCTATCCAGTGTTTACCTTGTGAAATGGGTGTTTCTTACACTATGCTCTCCATGCTACTGGAACTTCTTAGTTTCTCTGGTTTTTTGGTTCATGTTTTGTTAATCACTGTTTGTGCATCATTTCTTTCCATTTTTTACATTCTTTTTCAATGGTCCTTTTTACTGTGGAGGTCCCAAGTACAAGCTGGTCTTAGGATAGGTGATGTCAGAGGTGGCTGGTGTCCTTGTCCAGTGGTGCTTCTGCTTTTGTGTATATCACCAGGAGTGAGGATCCCACAGTCTCCCTGATTCCTCTTCCAGTGTTGTATCACCTTCATGGTGAAGATAGTATCAATGTGTTTATTCTTTCATGTTTGAATTCTCTGTGTTCCACCTTGTGTCATTACCTCTCCTCCTGTGTTTACATTTGAGGAGGTTTTGCTTTCTTCAGACACTTCAGAGACAATGAGGTCCCCCCGCCTGATGTGACAGGCTATTTCTGGTTAGAAAGAACATCATGAGGATGCACAACGTGGAAGTTGCATCTTGAGGGGTCCTGCTGTGTACCTGAATATGTTTGGTTCCACTTGTTTCCTCGCTGTCCAGCTGTATGGGAAGCCCCCCGTTTGTGTTCGCATGGAGCAGTGTCATTGCAGTAATGTGGTAGTGGAGGTGGTGTGACTGAGCATGGAGAACAACCTCTTTGTCCCATGCAGGAGGAGGACAGAGCTGCTGAACTTTTGTGTTGTGTTGCTCAGGCTTCCCTGAGGAGGGCAAAGCACCTGGGGCAGATACTTTTGGGCTGGTGGTTGGAGGGTGAAGGAGCAGCTGGTGCTGGTGGTGGATGGGCAGTTTCCTTCATAGGGAATGCTGTGCTGGTCTCTGCTGGTTGTTTTGGACCATCTTGGGTGATGGTGTTTGGGGGATCTATCTTTTTGTTTGCTAGGGATGTTTTGGGGTGAAGAAGGCCTAGGGCAACGTGCTTTATGTAGTCAGCAGGTCCCCATGGCCACTGGTGTGTGAGCACAGGCAGGAGTGTCCTGGGCCAGCTGTGGTGTGTAGGAGAGCAATGAGCAGTCCCAGGCGTCTCTCTTGGGTTTTTTGTGGGGTTTTTTTTTTTTTTTTTTTGTTGGGGGGAGGCTGCGTGTGGTGGCGGAGCGGCGGGGGATGCGAAAGCGCTGGGGCAGGGCCCTTGGGGGCAGCTGTGGCGGGGAGGTGTGTTCGGGTTTCCTGGTAGGTCCCTCCTTGCCTCTTTGAGGTGCACCTTGTCCATGCCACCCTGCTTGGTCCCAAGCAGTGCTGTGGCATTGCTGAATGGTTGTTTGGTGATGGGGTGGTGGTTTGGAGGTGGCTTTGGCAGTGGAAGAGGGTTGGGAAGGGAGAGGATGGGTGGTGGGAGAGAAGCGTGCAGGGCAGGCATCGCATTATCTGGGCAAGTGCGTGCTCCAGTGGCCTGGCATCACTGGGAGATGCCTATGGGCTTGACGGACCATGGTGGGTCCCTGAGAGTGGCCCGCTGTCCAGAGCCTTCGACCGGGACGG